AGCACACCAGCTCACACACTACTCTCTCACTGCAGCAGGCTTCTTCAGGGGTGGGGCACAGCTCTGCAGAGGAACCAACTGTCAGTCCTTGGCCTTGTGTCTACAGCATAAGTAGGTGGACACTAAATGAGATCCTTGTGTTTATCTCTTGCGAATCCCCTACCTCCCACAAAACAAAACAAATCAAACAAAAACCCAAACAACAAACAAAAACCACATTTGATTAAATACATAAGTCAATCAAAAGCAGAAGTAAAGAATATCCACATGGAGGGTTACTTTTGAGCGGCATGTGTTCTCTCTTAAACACTTTACCCTGAAGTGACTGGCAAGCACAGACCCAACAAAGGACACAGTGTGATTATGGACAACAGACCCTACTTGGGATGGGATCTGGGGATAACTACAAATGGAGTAAAATGTCTCAAATGCCAAGATACAAGTTTGTGAGGCTAGTGCATTTCCTAGCAATGGCCCAGAAAAGTGGCCCAAGCACCAAGAGCAAACACAACAGGGGAGGAGAGTCTGTATAAAATCTTTTATTCATTCATTTTTTTAAATTATTTCTTATAATGAAAATGGGCAATAAAACAATAATTTTTCTTATGTTCATAAGCTCCTTCCTTCTTTTCCTGTTTTCAATTTTTTTTTTTTTTTAAAATTTGGTCAACTTGACACAAGTTGGATTTATCTAGTGAGAGGTGAGAGGAACTTCAGTTGAAAAACTGATTGCATCATGTTGTCTGGAGGCCAGTCAGTAGGGCATTTTCTTGGTTAATGATTTATGTGGGAGGGCCCAGCCCACTTCGGGCAGTGGGCAGGTGGACCAACCTGCCTCAGTTCCTGCCTTAGCTTCCTTTATTGTCATGGTGCCTGAGGATATATAACCTCAATGGACCTTTACCTCCCCTCATTAAGTTTGGCCTTAGCCTTTACGACAGCAATAGAAAGGGAGCTAAGTCATCCTAGAGGTGACACATGATATATAGCACAAATGAGAAAATAAGTATAAAAACTAGTAAATGCTCAGGAGAAAATTTTCAGAGAAAGAGGATATGAAGTGTCTAAGTGGAGGAGTTTGATATCTCAGGATCCTCAGTGGTGGTACTGCCAAGAAGGTACGTTTAGTATGTAAAGGGTTGAAGAAGCTACCCACTTTGATCTCTAAGAAAGAGTATTTCATATACAGTAAACTGCTAAGACAGGAACCTTCTGTCTTCCGTCTGTACATGGAAGAATGTGGTGAGACAGGTGATAGGGATCCATACCTGGTAAGGACTACTCTAAATGATTACTTTGAGTGAAAGTATAAATCAGAATACGGGTTTTCAGGGAGCAGCAACAGACTTTGATGTCTGTTTTAATATGTCTTCTCTGGCTGCGACATTGGGAATGGAGAAACTGTAAGAGCCTGAAGTTGAGAGGCCAGTGAGGATGATGTTCCAAGAATATAAGCAAGATGGTGGCAATTTGACTCCAGGGAGGTGGACATTAAAGGCCAGTACTCACATTCTGGTTGCATTCCAAAGGTGATGGATTTTAAATGGAAAAAGAATTAAACATGAATACAAGGTTTCTGGTCTGGAGAGTTAGAACTAAGTTGCCATTTCTTGAGGTATAGAATGAGCAGTAGAGAAGGTTTGAGCAGACTGAGGTGGCTGAAATGCTGACTTGAGATGTCTATTGATCTATAAAGTGGATTTCATATAGGATGCCAAGTATGTGCATTACGAGTTGGGAGATGTGATCTAGGTGAGGAGAATATCTTTGAGGATCATTAAAGTAACTTATAGTCATGGAGATTAGATACAATTATCCTGGGAATAAGTAAAGAAGTCAAAAAGAAAAAGAAAGAAGTTTAGGGAAAAGGACTAACAACAACAACAGCGGAGAGTAAGAGGAAGTATCCACACAGGCTGCTAGAGCATCCTGCGAGTGTCTACACAGGCTGGTGGAGCATCCGGCAAATGTAAAACAGCACATGTTTCACAATGGAGGCTCTGTGCCACTGGCTGAGATGCTGCTAAGATAGTTAAACAGGACGAAGAATCTGTTCTCACTTTAACAACATAATGGCCACTGTGTCACTGTGACTGAAAAAAAGAAAAAAAAAAGTGTGAAGTAGAAAACTGTAATGTTTAAGAGAGAAAGACTGAGTAGGGTGGGCGATGGGTGTGGGGACTAAAGTTTATAATCCTAGCCATTGCCAGGCAGAGGCAGGGAGTTTGTCACACCTTTGAGGCCAGCCTGCAGGACATTAGGCGTGGCCTAGAAAAGCAAATAGGCTTTCAAGAAGTATGGCTGATTGTGACATGCTGTGTGTGTGTGTGTGTGTGTGTGTGTGTGTGTGTGTGTGTTAGAGTGGTGTTATGCTGACGTTCTGGGGAAAGCTGCTGGAGTTGTGAAGTGGGTGTGAGGTGTGGAGGCTTTCTGAACAAAGAGAGAGCTGGAGGACTGGCTCAGTGGTAAATAACACTATTCCCGCTCTTGCAGAGGACTTGGGTTCACTTCCAGGCACTCGGGTGGAGTCTCACAGCCATCTGTTACTCTAGTTTCAGGAGATTGGCAAGTCTTTGGGGTTCACTGGCCAGACAACCTAGCTGAAGCAACAAGTCCCAAGCATCAAATGAGACTCCCAAAAAGCAAGGGGAACAGTTCTTGAGGAACTACATCAGAGCCTGAGCACACAATGTGTGTGCACACATTGACATTTGCATGTGCCCCCCCCCCGAATGTGCACATACACAAATGAACAGTGTCTAAGGAGCAATACTCCAGGTTGTCCTCTGGTCTCTGCTTGCACATGCATTCAAGTGTGAGTCTATCACACTCCCCAACTCAAAACAAAGTCAGCTGAGGGCTAACAGGCATGAGAAAGACAAGAACTATGGTTTGGTGATGCTGAGTAATCCTTTACCAAACCAACATGTCTATACTGTTGCTAGAGCTTGAGGTGCCAACAGGAGCCAAGAAGATTTCAAGAAAAGGGTTGAATGTTGTGGAATTCATGGAGCTGGTAGAGAAGACCAAGAGTCACAACATCTGTATGATGGTGGGTGAGATCAGCCTTTCACTGGGATAATCAGCTTCTATGAGGATGCTAGAATGAGCACAGGATCCGTGAGCCAGAACTTTGTGACTTTTGAAATTATTTAAGGCCAAAACCATGACCTTTGTATGACATGTCCAATTTTAAAATGTTGACAACTCATTTACAAAAGGTGAGGTTGGGGGCTGGGAGCTGCCTCAGTGGGGAAAGTGCTGGGTGCATGATAAGGAAGACCTGAGTTTGGATACCCAGCACTGCTGTGAGTGCCAGGTGTGACAAGCATGCAACTGTAACTCCAGGAGGATCTTGAGGTCTTGACGGCCAGTCAGAGTAGCTAAAACAGTAAGCTCTATATTCACTGAGAGATCAAGCCTCAAAAAAAAAAAAAAAAAAAAAAAAATGCAGAGTTCAATGAAGAAAGCTACTAGACATTGACAGGTGAACAAACACATACACACCCAACCCCCCTCAAAAAAATTAAAATAAAATTGCCTTTTAAAAAAATCTAACAAAGGAAGCCACAGAAGACATGAAAAGTTCGAAGTCAGAATTTTATTTAATGAAATGACTTTCTACATTCGCCCTCACTTTATATAGAATTCTTATATTTACATAGAAATGAAAAATTATAGCTACTTGAAGTTAACAGTTTTGAAAACATCCCCAGAATGTAATAATCAACTCCACCTCCTCTTCCTCATCTTCAGGTAGATGGCTACCTCCCTCTGTGGCTCTCATCTTCTTGTGGAGACATTAGAATACATGTATATTGGGCTATACTGTTAACTGCAACAATGGAACTCTAAATTAAGAGAGAAGCCCATGGCACAGCAACAGTTACATACCCACCTGAACTGAACAAGGAATAATAACAAGAGTAGGAGTGTTGAGTGAGTAGCAGGGATTTATATGTACCTTTTGTTGAGACAGGATCTTTCTATGTAGCCCACACTGGCCTAGAACTCTACATCCCCCATCTCAGCTTTCAAAAATGCTGAGATTACAGCCATATACCACCACGTCCAATGATGTCCATTTAATACATGCCAAATGGTATTCTAAGCATTTTGTATTTCTTATTTCGTACTATTTCTAATCTCCAGGATATTTTAATTTAATGCTTATATTTATACTCATTTTATCATTAGGGAAACTGAAGCTCAGAGGGAAGAAGCAAGACGATGATGACAGAACCTAGCATTCCAACCCTGCACTTTTGATCTTACCTTGACATTGCCATGCACGGTATGCCTCAGTTCAACAACTATTTATTAACAGACTCTCCTTTCCCTGCTCTGGTTTGGTCAGAGGGGTACAAGGATGAATGCAGTTCTGTACAGACTTTCCTACCACAGTAAAGACAATGAAAAGATATCTTGTCAAAGCAATGTGGCTAGCAGGAACAATGAATGCAGACTACCATAAATGTCATGACAGAGCAAACAAGAGCCTACCTAGAAGCTGCCAAAGAGATTCACTGGAGGAGGTGGAAGTCAATTCTGAACCTCAGTGAATGAGTGGAAGTTCGGGTTAATCGAACAAAGGGAGAATATTCTAGGTAAGAAAGTAAATCACATGAATGGACACGAGAAATTGTATGCAGTGCTTTAACTAATAGCTCTATTGCCATCTATAGATGTGCAGTGGGAGTGCTGTATAGTGGAGATGAATGGCAGATTTGTGTTAGCAGAGGGAGACAATCTAGCAGTCTAGTAAGTGCTGGATGGAAGAGGGCACATATAGAAGCTTTTAGGATATTCGGTTGCCAACCGCTTTCCATTCATCTAAATTTTCTATGGAAAGACAGCACTGTTGTGTGCAGAGAACACACATCTTGCCATTACCATAGCAAGTCAGGTACCGAAGGAGACCAGGGCAGGAAATAATGCCCTTGGTAGTGGCCAGCACTTCATGTGTATATAGTATTTCTTAAGAAATAAAGATGGACACATTGTCAGCAGAAATCACAAATTTATTAACTTCTTAAATATATCAATCAGTCATTTACCATTACGGCAAGAAATATATACAGTGTTCCATGATAAACTGCAGTGTTTTCAAAACAATGGAAGATGATGAATGTGTGATTCCACTGTGCTGGAGAGAACAAATTACAATTTCCTCACATCTTAGTGCAGAAAACAAACTGGATCTATGGTAATACTTCAACACCACATGCTAAGTTAAAAGTGTAAAAAAAAAAAAAAAAAAAAAAGAAAGAAAGAAAAATAAACCATTCTACCACTATTTGTGTTTTTAAATACATGTATGCCATGTAGAGCTGTTTCACAAAAAGATATAAGAAATTAAAAAGGGAAAAGTGAGGCCATTACGTTTTTCACAGATCTCATTGGCAGGCTCAATACATTTACTGTATATATTCATTTTAAATATATATTGTTTTAAATCATGTAGTTATCAGAAAAGCTCCAACCCATCTATCGTACATTCACTAGCAACAATATCTAATGTGATTAGCAATCAACACCGAATGAGAAAAAAGAGGGGAGGGGATGTTTTAGTTTCGCTTTTTGCCTCTGCTTTAAAAATAGGTTTCTGAGGACTGTGGGTAGCTATGGTTGGAGTAATGTTGATGGAGATTCCATGCATGGCAAAGCATTTCAGCGCGGAGAAACAGCCTCACAGGAACCGAATCAACAAAGAAGAAATGAGAACCACAAGGAAAACTGGGGCATTTCCTTTTTCTCTTTGCTTTAATCTGGAAAAACCCTAGCTCCTGGCAGGAGGATGACACTGTGACTCAAGAGAGAAGTACAAGTCATGAAGATCAAGTTCAAACACTGTGAGGATGGGGAACATCCCTCATGTTACTAGCTAGTGAAAGTGAGGCAGTAAAGGCCCTCACATGCCACAAGTGCTCTGCATGCCTCTCTGGTGACCCTCCACTTAGTCTTTAGGCAGCTTCCCTAGTCGATAAAGTACCAGGGCATTGTTGCAGGCTCTTCCTGCTGTTAGCACAAGTCTCAACAATTCCACTGCTTTCCAAGTGGCAGCCTAAAGTGAATTAAAAACCTTTATTGAAAACGCTCCTAACAACTCCACGGGCCGTGAAGAGACAGAAAGTGCCAGCTTTAGCTTCCTCCAAAAGACCTTTATCTTCATTTTTACCTTCATATGTAAATTCTACTGTTATTTTTACACACTACTAGCTACAGAAAGCAAGACAGACAGACAGATGGGAGACAGAGAGAGAAAGAGAGAGAGAGAGAGAAAGAGAGAGAGAGAGAGAGAGAGAGAGAGAGAGAGAGAGAGATTTAGAATGGGAAAATTAAAAGCAAAAAAAAAAAAAAATAGTATAAAATGAAAACAAAGTACAGATTTGAGAAAGAAAAAACAAAATCAGTGTCAAGTGTTCACCAGAACTGTACCTATCTGAAAGCAATCAAACTTGTAAATGATGTACATTTTTCCAGTATACAGTTTGACTCAAATCAATGTGGCTTTGATGATAGAATAGCAACTGATTCTTGCTCCTACAATCACACAGGATTTTGCCCACATAATCATTCCATTTACACAACACTAACTCTTTCAGAGAAAAGTCATCCATTTCTACCAGGATCACACTAGGAACTGAAGATAAATATATATATATATATTTATGCCTTAAAAACAAACAAACAAAAAATCAAACCCAAGATCCCAACAAAAGCCCCAAAAGATTAATGGCAACATTCTAAAAAGATTTACTTTTCTCTCACAAATGGTTATTCAGAGAACAATAATTTTAACGAAATCTTCTAAATCTTGGCATTAAAAGAGAAACCTGATGGATCAGTTGAACTTGGAACATTGTGTAATTTTCTTTTCTGACTTCCCTCTATAGTTTGCCAACCGTAATATAAGTTTGCATGGATCATCCCATCCAGTAGCTGGAGTGTAAACAATGTATAGGAAGGAATATATGATAAGATGATGTGTCACATATGCATTACATGTAGAACCTTCACAACTTCATGCACTCAGAAACATGCATGAAGAGGAGGAGAGGACGTCCCAGGATCACCCTCCGGGTGCCTTGAGAACAGAATGCAGAAGTGGCATTGTTGACAGTTAGCTGAAAAGAAGGAAGAAATAAATTATATAATTTTCTATAAAGTACCAGACTTTTGGCCACAGATGTAACTAGGGTACAATTTTATAACTTAGCTAAAGTTCAGGCTGGAAATAATTTGTATGAGATCTTTGGTTGTGATCCTTGGAAAGTAAAATACACATGTTTAACAAAGACTATACTAGGCAATCAATAGTATCTATTTGTTCAAACAAAGCCAAGCTGAAAAAAAAATCCAGAAGGGATACAGGCTTCAAACACATTATTAAATATAAATATATTTTTTAAGTATTTCTATTTACTAGACAAATCTAATAAATTCATATTAGTATTGGGTTGAAACAGAATCAAAAGTTCAACTTCACCCTGTGCATTTTAAGCACATCATGCTTAAATTCCTTGGGAAATCAAAATTAAAAGTCATCTCCAAAAGGAATATAGTCTCAAAAGTAGGAAAACAAGGACTTTTCTTACTCAGTTCTTTAAAAAATAACCGAGAGTGCCTTTCCTTGAAGGTTCCATTCCATCTAGGCTTGGGGAAAATATAAACAATGGCACCTACTCATGCCTGTACCCCAATACCAGTTTAAGACACAAACCTTCAGAAACAACAACACAGGCATGAATTTAACTTTGGCCAACTGTCCATTATCTGAATGAACTCTTTTGTGTTTGTTTCAAGTTCAGCTTGACTTTCTCTTGTGCTCTGCACCACTGGGCTAACAACATTACATAGTCAGACACCATGAGCTCATGTACATATTAACCCCAGCCAACGGCTAACAGACATTGCATCTTCCAAAAGACAGTAAGACACCAAAGGATTTTAAAGTTTAATAGATACTGCTCTGGATAATTGAAAGTTTTGTCTGGATTAACCGAGATGTAAATGGCTTTTGATGGGAGAACTCCAGGATGCTGAGTGATTCCATTTAGCTATTGGAAAAATGGTCCTTCTTGGTGTCTTTTCCCTTTCAAATAGTGGTGATGCTATAAAATGAACACTAGAATTAAGGACTCATGCAAAGCCACATGGATTTTCAAAGACCTCATGTGTGTTTCAGTGAATAGAATGCTGAGCAAATGTCCACAAAGGGAAGAACACCAGTCATGCAGCTTTTCCAGCCTTAGCCCCCATCACACGGAACCGTGGGGCAGGATGCTACTTACAAGACCCAAATGTGAATGGTTTTCAGATGTTTTGCCACAAAGAGGTGCCTCCTGAGAAGTTTTCTTTCCCATTTGGAATACAGGGTGGCCTATTAAGAGAAGCCCCATTTAAGCCACCTGGCATAAAAGGAAGTTTTCTTAAATAGGCTCTATCCCTTAACACTTCAGAGAACTGCAGAGAAAACTAGACCCTGATCCAACATAAATGCACCCATTCTATCTAGATTAGCTGGCAATTTGTGGTGTACCTCTTTGGGGAAAAAAACCACAGAAACTGTAACGGACTTTATTTCTTCTCTACTCCTTTTGTTTACATAGCCATTTTTTTTGGGGGGGGCATGTATTCTAACCTATTTTTGGTTGTTACTGGGATTTATTTTTGCCTCTATTGACCCTTTTTATTTCTTTTTGTATACCCAACAGTGCTATATGGTGACTAAAATGACAGAGAAGATCTCTGAAAATCACTGTGGTTGATAATCTAATACCAAACAGACAAGTCGAAATTTCTTTGCTGGAGTGTGTTGACTGGTTGTTTGTAAGAATGAGGCTTCAAATACTAACAGAGGATCCTGGAAAGACATGATCAGTGTCAGGCTTCACCCAATTTTGCTTACGCTCCTCTTGCTCATCTCATTTCACTGAGACAATGATTTCCCATCACTCCTCTTTACTCCAGTGAACCAGCCTACACTATAGTATTCTGCCCAATTTGCCTCCTTTTTTAAGGTTTTTAAAGTTTCAGCCTTGTAACTTCATGTTTCTCTTGTTTGGACTCTCTCTGTCTCTGTCTGTCTTTCTGTCTGTCTGTCTCTCTTGTACTGTTTCCATTTCTGTATCTCCAAATTCTATTCCTCAAGTAAAATTTTGCTCAGAATTCAGTCTTTGATACAGAGTATGAATGTGTTGGTGCATTGGTTGTTCACTACACCCAACTCTAAAGTCAAGTACATAGCTTATGTTTTCCATGGTCTTAGTGATTTACTGTCTTCCTAATCAGAGTTTATGTTTCCTACGAAAAAATGCCTTTTCACCTCATCCTGCATCAAACACAAGAGAGGCACCTACAAGATGTGTTGTGAGTTATATGTCTGATATTATCATTATTATTATCTGTCTGTTGGAAATGAAATATGATGTCTGAGGAAGAATACTGAGATGAGAACATGCCACAACATCTGATATTTTCCTTTCAAACTGCTGCTTTCTAAATCTCTAAATGTACTACCACGGGCATATTAACAAATACGACAGCCTGGAGATATTTACTTGATGGGTACTGTTGGTGAACCCGAACGATGAAAGTGAACATTCTGCCACTTCCCATCACGGCGGTGCCACACGCGAGTCTCTTCCGATTGCATTGTCTTTGGCATTCCACTGCCATCCATGTACTGTGTGAGCCGAATGTATGCTATGCAGGCTGCATCATCCCCCACCAGGTGCACATGAGGGTTCAGGATGATAGTGTGGATTGGTTTATTGCTTTTGGACAAAGCTGAATGGGAACAATATATAAAGAACATAAATTAAGATCTTACATATTGTAAACTAAAATCAAGATTAAATTCAGTTGAGATCAAGGAGGAATAGTATTCATTCATGCCTTACCTCTTTAATCTATTTGCACCAACTGAGTGCTGGGTATTGTACAAAGTGTAAAAAAAAGTTCTAATCACTTGATCAAGATATTAGTGAATTTTGAACACAATCCCTATTGATGGTGTTTTATAGATTAGAATAGGTCCAGTTATTCTAGTTGTTACCCAAACATGCTTCTCATTCTCAGACAATGCCTATTTAAATTACTTGAAATGTCAGTGACATAAAAAGAATACCCTATTCTGGAGAGTACAGAGTTATGGAAAATAATAGTATATAGTGTAATGTTGAAATGAGTAAAATATTAATGGGATAATAAACTATTTTATTAGAAATAACATGGTATTGATTGACAGGCAGATGAAAGAGATATGTGACACTTCCATCAAAATGCTAAAATATACAGCAGATGAGAATATTTAAACAAGATTTGTTAACACAAATTAATTTACCATTACCTATTACTGTTAGTCTGTTTGCAAATAGGTAACACATAAAGGAAAAGAAAATGTCATGCACTCAAAGCACAAGCAAAAGCAGATTGTTAATGCTTTTAATCACTAGAAGTGAACCTAATTACCCTAATTATCATACAGTGCCTCTGTAATTCAACAGGACCTTATGGTAAAAAGACTGAATTCCTTTCACACACCATGGAAGTATAATGCAAAATGTAAGGCTGTGAAGACCAAGTGAAACAATGAAGGGAATTCCTGTTAACACTAGGCCTTAGGCTTGATTTTATCTATTATTTATTAATATTTGAAGAAACTGCTTTGGTAATAAGTACGTTTTCTGAAATATATATGTTTCTTCTGAGCCACTAAGATATTAAGACCTTTGCAATCTGAGTGGAAACACTTATTGATTGCTCATCTTTGTTTATACCATAATTTGAAAGTGACCACTATACTTTCCAGCAGTGCTTGTATCAAGGATGTGGTTTTCACCCCCACATTAGCCATTTTACAAAAAGTCAAAGTAATACATTTTCATAACATTTTATAGCTTATATTGTCCATTCACTCAGTTTTAGATCTTAATGGGTGTTTCCATATTTTTAAAAACATAAAGGACTTTCAGGTTTGAATTGGATATATTTTAGTTCCCCAAAACAACAGTTTATCATGGTGGACATACTATTGGTGAAAAAAAAAAAAAAATTCCCATTGGAATAAAGAGCCAGAGAGTCTGTGAGGCTGGGAGAAGTTCCAGGAAAGTTGGTCAAAAATGCAGAATAATTACCATTTTCAAAGTAGAATCTGTGGAAGTCCATCCCTTCCACTAAGTTGCCCAGAGCTTCAGGTTCAAAGGCAGTGAGGCCTGGATCACAGATTTTTCTGCAGTGAAGAGAAAGTATTCATGAGTAAATGTGCTGACAGTTTGGTTCTCTCATATACAAGCATTCTTGTTTACAGTCAGGGAAGGAAAGAGATTCTAAAAAAAAATCCCAAATAGGAAATTTCTACTGTGGATCCTGAAAAAGTAGTCAAAAAGCAGACTTCAAAATGTCATTTTGTGGAGAACCCACAGAGGCACAAAACCAAGTTAACTTGTCCAAGCATAATCATCTTCTTTCAAAAATGCTTGCTATTTAATTCCCAAAGTTGATTCTTTGATTTTCTAACTTTTGACTTAAGTTTCTTATGTTTCAAGCTTTCTCAAAGTCAAAGATGTACTGTAAGTCCTTTCAAACCATCTTTGAACTTGGAAATAAATAGTTTTTGGGATGATTTTTAAGGGGCCCACTTTCTCCATCCTCAAACATCCATACTGTAACTGTCTTGAAGGGTAGGACATTGGACTGAGTTTCCTAGGAATGTCCACAAGATTACATAAAATATGTGTTTAAAGATTATTTTACTTTTAAAATAAAATTAATAGGTGCTTCAAAGGGGTATAATAGTATTCTTTTTAATCCTAGAAGCAGGATTGAGCAAGGGGGTATGCAACTCTAACCTATCCACAAGGAACCAATGGGCTTTCTTTGGATAAATTTACTTATTCTGTTGAGAACGATGAAAGATGAACTATAATAGGAAGCAACTCACACTCAATCCTAAAATAGAAATTAATACAAAATGCTTCAAAGGCAGGTTATAATGAATGAAAACGATATAAGAAGGAAAGTTGGAGCTGGGTTTTTAAGAATGAGTGAGAGTTTTGCAGGTATTTGAAAGGTCCTCTGTTGGAGGAGAGCAGCAAGGACTCTGCATATAAATCAAAGGATTTGGGTCCATTTGTTAAGAGCAGTTTCCCTGCCAGACTGATCCCAGAGCCACAAACACCAGCCCCAAATAACACACAGAGATGTCAGTCTGTAAATATGTTTCTCTTATTGGTTAATGAATAAAGCACTGTTGGCAAATAGGAAGGCAAGATAGGTGGGACTAGGAGTCAAGGAGGATTCTGGGAGATGTAGTAGGGTGGAGATTCAAGATGGAGAGACTTGAGGGAAGAAGTCTGGACCCTCTCTCTGGAAAGATAAGACCACGTGGAAACACTTAGATTAATAGAAATGGGTTAATATTTAAGACAGAGCTAGCTAATAAGAAACTCTAGTAATTGGTCAACAGCTTTATATCAAATACAGCATCTCCTGTGTGTTATTTGGGGGCTGTGGGACTAGGCTGATGGGAAAACTCCTCGTTAATACCCACTTATTAATTTGCCACAAAGGAGAAATGCAGTGGGTGTAAACAATGTCAAATGGACATGCTCAATGCTGGAGGGAAACTTTCTTAACTGTTCATCAGGAAAACAGATTTGCAAGCTTAACTCCCTATGGTGTAGGTTCATGGAACATGGTGCTGGCAAACCAGGCATGGTGGTACACTCATGTTATTCAACAGGAGTCCCAGGCCAGTAGAATGGGTGGCTTGGGAAGAACAAAGAACACTTGAAGGTCTCCAATCACAGCAGTTATCCTCTGTGATGAAACCAGTGGTAGAAGGGTAATAATGAACTTTGTTTCACAATGCCTGCTGGGCAGGTTTAAGCTTCCTTAGGGGTAAAGTGGGGAGAATAGTGTTCCTATGGCAACAGAAATTTATTCTGCCAGGTGTTATTATTTTCTCCATACAATATGGTTTAGTTGTCAGTTTGTGAACCAAAACTTTGTAATACCTCACATTGGCTCTGAGATCATACAATGTATTATAATGATGCTTTCTCACCTGGCAAAGAAACAATATATTTGGAAGTGTTATTCTCTTTTTCTTTCTCCTCTGTCATTCATTATCATCTCTCTCTCTCTCTCTCTCCTATCTACTCACCTACAGCTATCATTTATCCACCCCTATATCTCCCATCCATTCTATTGTCCCAGACTTCCGATTAATAAAGACTGACCATACTCTGAACATATTAGTTGGGATGGTGCTGTGAACAAAACTTAGGGACCAGCTGCTAAATCTTTAGAAAGGAAATAATATTGCATTATCCCGGAGCCTGGTAGTACAAATCTAGACCAAATGACATGCCTCTCTAGGCAAAGATGAGGTGATGTGCTCTCAAGACACTGAGTTATTTAACTATCCTGCTTTAAACTGTGTGGGAATAGGAAGTACCTCATATCCACTAGCTACAATTACACCCTGTCAGTGAAACAAAAACAAGACACAACTTCTGCCTTCCACATAAGAGCCTTCCCATTCTTTAGGGACTCATAAAGGTCTAACAAGGTTGTAATTGTAAAAAGAGTAATAGAGAGCAATTTCTACAGCATGGAGTTATTATCAGCCACAGTTTCAGGGTGAGGAGAGCTATTATCTGCCTTAATAGGGATTCAAGCTCCAACCTTTAGTGTTTCTTTTACCAAGTGTACTTTATTAGATAACAGTGAAGAGCTGATTCCCACACACATGTTCAGGTATATGCAAGTTTTACGTATACACTCATACCCCTACAAGGATGTACATATACATCTACAAGATATTAACTTAGAACCCACATCTAGTGAGTCTCCCATATTTTGTGTGTGTGTGTGTGTGTGTGTGTGTGTGCATTTGAATAGTGAATATTCCTCTGTTACTTTTAGCATATTTCAAGAAGGGGGAAGATTTATTTGGGTTCATGGTTTTCGAGGGCTTTAGTTTATCATAGGCTTTGCTTGTATATACACTTAGGTAGGGGATATGAGCAAGCCTTATTAATTTTGTCATTTATATTTTTGTTTACTAATGTTTAGTTCATATCCTTTTCTAATTCTGTTTCTTTCTAATTTTATCCACGGTATAAAAAAATTTGGACATATTGTAAATGCTTTTCTAAATTGTTTCTCCATTAGTTTTGTTTATGGCTTTTAAAATTAGAGGTGTATACCAATTTTATCAGTTGGGACATCAGTTTATTTTCTCATTTATGATCATTTTTCCTGCTTTTAAACTTAGAAACTTTTTTTTATTTATTTAGAGAATAGAATCAATCCTTTTCTTTCATTTTATTTATTTATTCATTTACTTTTGCTTTTAATACTTTCACACAGTGGGTTTATGTAGTTAAAAAAAAAAAAACAAAATTAAACATGGATTTACATTCCCAAATAGCTTTGCAATGACCCTTCATGTCCTAAATGTTTTATTTTTCTCAAGCATAGTGATTTCCTTTACATAATATGTAATCCAGAAGTCTATAACTATTTAAATTAGCATAAAATCCTTCTCTTGAGTAAAAAATCCCCTTAATACAAAAACACACTCAACAGATGCAGATGAAGTTAAGCTTCACTGATTGACTAGGGGGAGGAATGCTTGACATCAACATTTATTATCTTTTTCTGTCCCAATATCTGGCAGAACTGCAAAGGAACAGATTTCTTAACCCACTTCTCTGCTTTCTCTCTCTTTTAATCCTTGCCTGCCTGGATTTCTCTGATGACCTACTTTCACTCAGAACTGTTGGTGATTACAAAGTAATAACATTCACAAAACAAGCCATTCCTGTCCTTAGATCAGAAGTCATCTCTCTGAAATCATAAAAAAGATTTCTTTCTTAAGTGCCCTTTGTCATTTATATGGCATAAAGCTGATGTCAACGTGTTAAAGAAGGGGTGAAATATACAGGACCTCAGAAAATACAATGGCAGAGAAAACACACTCACCCAGTGTGTGGTAGCAAAACAAACATGTCTGCCTCTACTCACGTGTAAGCTTCAAAGTCCCCATTGTTGATAGCTTCAATCAGTTGCTCAGTAACTTTGATGATCTCCTGCTTTCGAGCTAAAAGCGAAGATATAGTCAGATGAGAACAAAGGACAAAAGCCATACAAGATATTTTGTCAACAATACAGCTACTTTAGTTAATGAGGGTATCATGTGAACCATCTCTCCCAGAGAAAGATGGTTGTCTTTAATTCAAAAACACCTATGTCTCCAAGGGACACTTAGAAGCACAAATAAGCTGGTCTCACCCCAGACCAAGAGGCTAAGAATCTGGACTTTAGCAGGGTTCTGTGGTCTCAGGTCTTAGTTGTCGGGGAGGCACTACTCCATCTCATTTGATTATAAACAACAGATACTTGGAAGGTTGAAGTCACTTTTGCTACCCTTATCACCTTGACTTAGAGAGCAGTTTTTTGTTCTCTATTAACAAATATGTCATCAAAAAATTATGTTATAAAAATACTGAAGAACAAACAGCCAGCTTAAAAGTGAAGATGGTAGGTTGTACCAAGACATCCAACATTAGGTGACAACTGACTTCTTACTCTTCAGGCCAACCTGCCTGGCCCTTCCAGAAGAGGGGCACCAACACTGTGATAGGCCACTGTATTTAGATAAATGGTCATTAGTAAACTCTTTAAATTGAGAACGAGACAGGAATGCTTCAAATGTGGGCAATAAGTAGACATAAACCCCTTGCAAAACTATCACGCCCAACCAACATCATTAGTGTTTTTTCCTATGTAGGACTGGTAAAATTATTAATGCTTGGTCTGGCTCAGACATCGTCTTTTCAGCAAATTTCTTTCTAATTGCACCTACTTCAAATGTCTCTACCCTCTTCTTGAATACTCATAGTTCTTGAGCTGTCCCCTGGGTATCCCTGACATTTCCTTAAGTTAAAGCACATAGTTTGTTAAGTTATTATTAAGCTTTGTTAACTGTCAGTTGAGCCCTCCTATTTGAATAGAAAGTTCCTTGTAAGCAAAGAATATGCTATTTCTTTGTGTTGCTTAAGAAACTTTTGTTCAATAAAATAGATGTTAAATATATTTGTGAATTTGATCAATTAAGAATACTGATAACACCTTTTAAATCTCAGAATGTTGATTTTTAACTCATGAAATTATGTTTAAATATTAATATTCATTATATATAATTATAATTTATGTTAAGATATGAAGTGTATTAGGTTTTGTTTTAGGATCACTATATATCACTTTGGACTCACAAAGTCATTTTCAAATTTTTGTGTGAGTCATTGTGACATTACCATTCATCACAAGGATACTACCCTTTGTTTTTAATTTTTATTGATTACAGGAACCATTTTTAAAATTGATTTGATCTTCACATTTTATCACAAACTTTAAGTGTAGTGTTTGTTCACTTTCAAAATCCAAGTTATCTGGGTGAAATCATTTCTTTCTTTTTTTTTTTTTAAGATATAAAGCTGTTGGCCTATTACTAGTTTTTTATTATTTATTTTTTTTATTTTACATATTTATCCCAGTTCCCTCTCCCTCCCTCTTTCCCTCTCCCCCCCCCATATGCACCCCGACTACCCTACGCCCTCCCACTCCACATGTAGGGTGATGACATCCAGGAGGGGTCATCTAAATCTGTCAAGTCATTTGAAGTGGGGACTAGGACTTCTCTCCTGTCTCTAGGTTAAGGGAGTATCCCTCCATGGGGGATGTGCCTGCAAGGTCCATTTGTACACCAGGAATACATCCTGGTTCCACTGTCTGAGGTCCTTTAGACTGCTCAGGCCTTCTAGCTGAGACCCATGTTCAGGAGGTCTAAGTCAGTCCCATGATGGATTCCCAGCTATCAGTCGGGGGGCCCGTTAGCTCCTCCTTGTTCAGGTCAGCTGTCTCTATGTGTTTCTGCAGCCTGGTCTTGTCCTCCCTCTCTGCATGGATTCTAGTTCACCTCAGTGTTTAGTTGTGGGTATTTGCTTCTGTTTCCAACAGGTACTAGATGAGGGCTCCATGATGGTGGATAAATTAGTTGTTGACCTCATTATCAGGAGAGCATTTATGGTAGCCTTTCCATGGTTGCTCAAATTGTTAGTTGGCGGCAGTCTTGTAGGTCTCTAGACCTTTCTTTAGGTTCAGTTTTCTCTTCAGTCCTATAATGGCTCCCTCTTTTAGTCTCTCTCTCTCTCTCTCTCTCTCTCTCTCTCTCTCTCTCTCTCTCTTCCTCTCTCTCTTTTCTGTCTTCTATTCCTCTCCTGAGTCAATCTTCCTAGACCCACGTGCTTTCCTCTTTTCCCCTTCTCTTTCTCCTAGTTCCCTCTCCACTTACTGTCCCCCCTCCCCATGTGCTCTGGAGAACTTGTCCCTTTCCCTTAATCTGTAAAATTAATTTGACTCCATTCAGACTGTATGATACTATCCCATAAAAAATATAGTACACAGGTATCTTATAATGACTACTAGAGGTTTGCCCATATAATGGCTACTAACAACGTAAATGTCAATGATATAAAGACATAGCTATTAGATGCTTCACAGTAGCTGTGTAACTTCTCAGTTGTGTACAAGAGCAGAACACGGGTGTTTCTAGCTCCTCTACACACTCCTATTATTTGGTTTTTCTTTTCTGGTTTGACTGATCCATATGAATAATATAGCCATCCTCAGGACATATTAATGGGATGGTAACAGTCAAGGGTTCTGTAGCAGGGATGCTGCCAGTGTCACATTCAGTTTAGTTAGGCAACAGGTGATTCACCTGTCTATGGCGTTGGCCATGTGAAGCTTTGGAAAAGGCCCATGGCAGCTAACCTGATTCTGGAGTCTGCAGGGCATGGTGAAGAGCCTCTCACAAAGGGAGAGTATAAGGATGTGGCTACCAAAGCTCCCTCCTCACACAAGACTGTCATTTAAAACTAACAACATTTGCAATAAGTTATAAGGCAGGCTGGAAAACTATAATTTGTGAACAACACCAATCTTTTAAAATAAAAAAAGATGGAGAAAATAAAGAGCAATGCCAAGTGTTGATTGTGTGACTTCAGTAGGCTGAGCGGTTCTCAGGGTGCGCAAACTTCTGGAACAGTTCCTGAGGTCCTGAAAACCCCACATCCTCTCCCAAAGCACATCATGGAGTCCAGAGCAGTAGCAGTGAGTGGCCATCTTCCACTTGGAACCACAGTTGCTCAAATACCTCCTAGCTCTGGGAAGTTTTGTTACAGTGCCTTAAGTTTGCTTTTGCATTATCTGTTTTCTATCTTAGTCCTAATTCTCAGAAACAATGGCATTTGTGCTGGCTTGGCCAAGCAACACAGAGACAGTTTCAAAGCAGGATGCTTCTGTGCTGTATCATCCTGGAGACATCATGAGCCCTGGCTTAGTAGGGGCCTGTAAGTCAAGAATCTCTGAAGTGTTCATTTCCTCCAGGCAAAGGCATGTGAGTGAGTCACAGTTGGGCCTGGCACAAGACAGCTGACTCTCGGAAGGAAAGCAGAAGGCTAGAAATGAATCACTTGTGTCTGAGGTTAGAAGTTAGAGCTGTTGCCACAAGCTCAACATCTGACCTAGGGTGTGACATGGGGTGGATGCCAGCTAGCTCTCCTCCAACAGCAGTGAGGCTAGGGGACAGTCACTGTGCCAGGTCCTTTGGTTAGCTGTTTTCTGTGAAGAAGGTCTGCTTCTTCCTTAAGGTAAGAAGTGATGATCCCAGATGCAAGGTGGGGAATATCATCAAGGAGGAGGAAGAGAGTACATTATGGCAAACCCTGCCTGTAAGATGCTACCAATTTAATCTCAGAGAGAAGACTGCCAGTTAGCAGGACCCAACGTATTTTTAGAGGATTTCCAGCTAGGGAAATGAGAAGGGAAGAAAGCAAGCAGGAAGGATGACACACATTTTCGGAGCTCTTTCCATGCAGGCATGCAAACATATTGGGTATGTTTCCCTACTGAAATTCACATTTTCTTTGACATCTTTATTGATCTAAAGATAAAAAAAATATTTGGTCCCTTGGCTGAAGAAAGTTGATACAAGGAGTAGACTGGACATCTCAAAGATACTTTCTTTTCTGGCGAGGACAAAGAGGCTATTGGAAAAATAATCGATTGGTAAACATCAGGTTACTTCTGTGCAAGAATTACAAAGAAACCTTCATTATTGTTTAATAAAGAACCTAACGTTTGAAAGCATGGGTGTTCTAAGAGGCCAGTACAGCAAGCGGCCTATGAGAAATCAGGCCAGGCGCTAGATCCCTGAAGATGGCCCCTAAAAAAACCCGACAGACCTGACTGTGAAGGTTAGCTCACACAGATACAGCAGAGGTGCAAGCCTTATTGCAACTACAGGATAGATCTATGGTCCTACCAGAACCTGCCTTCTCCTCTGTGCCCCTTAGCACTTAGGCTAGGCCAGACTAAATTAGGTGGGGTAGAGCTTTCTCTGCCCAGCCCTGGGAAAACCTACAGAAGAAAGGAATTCTTTTGTTCTCCTGGTATTCTGAGGGAAAACTAAGGTGTCTATGTCTCTTTTCAAGGGCTCAGTTGTGCTGTACCTGGAGGCTGCCTCTCTTACTTCTCCACTCTAGGCTTCTAGGCAGGTGTTTGAAGGAAAGACCTTACCTCCCCACATGTTACCTCTGGTACAATGCAGCACCTTTCCCAATGCTCCCCTAAAGATTGTGTGCCCACCCCGTAGTTGAAAGGCTCTCCTGTGTGAGAGATTCCATTATTCTTTTGAGCTCTGTCTGTTAGGATGTAGCAGAAACATCGTTATCATCACAGGTGCTCCTGCTGTACTGATTTCTTCCATAGTTCTTTCCTTCGGTACTGTAAAGACTATTTTAAAAGCCTCACATGAATATTTCATGCCCTTCAAATTCAACTACCTCAACAAAGGTTGGCAAGTCACACCACTGCCAATAAGAGGAGACAGGCAGGGTGGATAGAGGCTAGTGTGTTTTATATTATGAGATCACATTTGTACTTCATAGTGTGGAGAGGGACCTGCATATGCAGAGCGTAAACATCTCAACACCTACACACTGCTAATGGATTGTTTTAGATGGAGTTACCCTCTAA